ATGTTCTGTTATGAGCTATTTGGATTTTGTTCCTGTGAGTTTGAGCACATGATTCCCACACCGGAGCTGGGTTGAAGATCGCAGGTGCTATGATTTGTTTGTAGACGGCCAGTTTGTTCACCATTGAGAAGCGATATCTACGGCAAATCAGCGGATACAGACACCTAACCCAGCGAGAACACTTGCCTACGTTTTTTTTCTACATGGGACCAGAAAAAGAGCTTTTCATCAAACAAAATCCCGATATAGGTTACTTCGGCGGACCACTCAACCCTTGTGCTATCCATGATTACAGTACAAGATGGAGCCGGTTTTAGTTTGGGCGATTGCCGATGGAGGAACATAATTGTTTGAGTTTTAGTGGCATTGATTTTGATTTTCTACGTGGTAGCATAATCAGCAAAAGTGTCAAGGCATCGTTGAAGTTTGTTTGCTATTTCGGGAGGCATTCTTCCTTTGACGGTGATTGCGGTATCATCTGCGAACAGGAAAAACACGCAACCGTCTCCGAGGGGAGGAATGTCGGAAGTGTAGATGATGTATAGAAAACGACCCAGCAGACTTCCTTCGATTTACGGTCGCTACACGTCATCCCGATTTCAAAAATACCCATATTGTGGGGTACTTAACAGTATTTCCCAGTTTTTCTCCAACCGGAAGCCACTATCTTGGATTTCAAAATGGCGTCAGACATCGCTTTCTAAACCCTAGCCGTCATCCCTATTTCAAAAATACTCATATTGTGAGGGTTTTGCCGTATTTCCCAGTTGTTCTCTAACCGAAAGCCGCCATTTTGGATTTAAAAATGGCGTCAGAAATCGATTTCCGGTCCCTACGCGTCATCCCGATTCCAAAACTATCCATATTGTGGGGTATTTGACAGTATTTCCCAGTTTTTCTCCAACCGGAAGCCGGAATTTCCGGTTCCTACATGTCACGACGATTCCAAAAATACCCATCTTGTGGGGTATTTGACAGTTTGGCACTTTAAATTTTGATCATCTAAGTTTTCATTCACTTGCACATTCGGCAGCACTGCACCTCCATTTACAGCTTCTTCGCCCAACCGTTTAACCATGTTCAGCAAAAACCAAGTTCGGTTTGCAAAAACTGAACCGAATTCGTGGTTGATATTCCATACACCCGACCCCAAACTCGTTTACACGTGTGAACGGTGCTGATGGATTCGGTTGTGTTTTCGAAACCGAGGCCCGGTTTTGGTTTTAGTTTCGTTTACCGTGTAAACGAAATGAAAACTTTACACGGTGTGCACCATTCGTTCACACGTGTTGCGATTTTGAGGACCGTACCAGTTCATGTGTGTACAGGTTGGTTTTCTTGTCCACCTTGGTCTTGATCCAATGACCAACTTCACCAAAGGCAGCAACTTCCTATATCGGAAAAATATCAAGATATGATATAAACAAGGGAATCAAAATTCAAGCATACTAGCTCTACGTAGTGGGAAACATCCGAACTTCTGTCCATCAACTATTAGGTCTTGCTCCTATGAACAACTTTGCCTAAAACAGCAACTTTCTAGATGGCAAGGATTTCAAGATATCACAAAAAAACAACCTTAACTTACCAATCAGGCTAAGACCTTGTTGTCCTCTGCTGTCTCCACTCTACTCGATCCATGGCCACACTTAGCCAGCCTCGTAGTCTGCGAAGGGTCCGCAGATCGCCTTCTACTTGGTCGATCCACCTTGCCCGCTGCGCGCCTCTTCTTCTTGTTCCTGTTGGGTCGCTTTCGAGAACCATTTTCACTGGGTCGTCGTGCGGCACTCTTACGACATGCCCAGCCCACCGTAGTCGCCAATTTTTTGCAATGTGGACGATGGATGGTTTTCCCAGCAGCTGGTGCAATTCGTGGTTCATTCGCCTCCTCCACGTTCCGTCATCCATCTGCACTCCACCATATATGGTACGCAACACCTTCCGTTCTCCACGAGCATAGTAGATAGTCAACTTCGTGCGGCGGCGAATTTTATTCGACCGGAGCGTCCTCCGGAGTCCAAAGTAGGCACAATTCCCTGCCATAATGCGTCTTAGAATTCCTCTGCTGGTATCATTTTCGGTGGTCACCAGTGAGCCCAAATACACGAACTTATCGACCACTTCGATTTCGCCACCGTCAATCTGAACTCGGGGTGAGAGGTTAAAATTATCTTTCCTAGAACCTCTTCGTCTCATGTATTACGTCTCCGATGCGTTACGGCAAGCCCATTCCGCCTAGCTTCAGCCTTCAGCAGTGTTGGAAAAATCATTTTCAAAAAAAGTTCTATCACAGCTCATTGCAGAGATAAATCCCAAAGGAACTTCTCACAAAAAGTTCGCGAACGAGAGATGATAAAAAGTTCATGAAAGCGTAGAGCGAGAGAAATTTTCATTTCGTATCGCGAAAGATCTTTCGTCTCTCCATCTCACATCATTTCATACGTACTCGTGATTCGAACCAACCAAATATCCCCTCAGCTTTGTTTCTTTTTTTCCAGCGAGTAAAGGTAGGCGATGATCACGCGAGAGTGTCTGTTTGTTTTCTTCTCGTTCTCCGATATTTTTCGCATCCTTCACATTAAATACCATTTCCAGAGAACTTTGAGATTTGGGCGTAATTGCTTTTGTAAACAAACACGTCATTCAGCGATTTCTCACGAATCAAAGCACAATCTAGCGAACTATACTATACCAAATGAATCATTCATCTACCTGTCTGTGTTGTTAGTTTTTTTAGATTGAACTTTAATTCACGAGAAATCGGCGAATTAAGTGTGTGTTTACAAAAGAAATTACGCCCTAATCTCAAAGTTTTCCGGATTTATTTATAGTTTTAGTTCTCAATGCAACCAGCTAATAATAGATACTTGTAACCAGTGCTGTAAATTTTCATATCATTCGATTGAAGATGAACCACTGCAACCATTCACAGAATTGTGTAAACGAATTCTCACATGACCATAATTTGAAGAGCCCCTTTCTCATTCGAAGCTCATTGTCACTGTCAATTGATTCACTCAGTATCATTGGTATTGGCTCAGTAGTGGAGTATGGAAAAAATCCAGGAAAATGGTCCCGAACAGACAAGTCGACCCGATGTCGGATCAATGTAAGGCTAATTTAAGGTCGATGTCGACCCAATGTCGTGTTAATGTCGGGTCAATTTTGGGTTTATGTCGGGTCAATGTCGGGTCAACATCGGGTTGGGGTTTGATAGAAGTCAGGTTGGTGTCGGGTTGGCTTAGCTTTTTCGCCGGAATGTCGACCAGAGCTCCGTTTGTGTGTAGGTTACACTCAATCGAATGATATATAGCGTTTCTCAAATGAGAATGATCCATGCCTTCGTCAAATGACTAAGCAACTGATATCACCCATTCGGAGGAGGTCCCCTTTGATAGCGAATAGCTACTTTTCTAATTTTCATCAAAAATGTTCAAATGATTTTGAGAATTTACAGCACTGGTAATAGCACAGTGAAAAAGTTCACCACCACCTATATTCCCAACCATCCCCCTGCATATAATTATTGCATAAGAGCTTACAGGAACGATATTACGAACACTAGTGATGAGAGGAGCCATGCATTAACTGTATTTCGTGAAAATGAGGATACATTAGGCGCTCCTCCTTCCGCAACCCCCTATCCTGAGGAACGGTTTTAATATAAAAATTGCTAGTCACAAAATCTTACACTACCCTCCCCGTTCCTCGTTAATGTCGCGTTGACACTTGTGCTGATTCATTCATTTTTTTTGCCAGAAACCAATGCACCAATCAATCAGTTGCACAAAACTGTTCACATCATCCTGATAACGGCTACTTTAAACAACAGGCGCCAGTAGACAGCCAGGTACCAGACTTATCAGTCTTTAGAGATTGTATTGATTTACTCGGGATAGCTTTCTGTCTATAATCTTTCCCTTGTGAAATGTGCAGTGCAATTTTCAAGAACGAATGTGGTGTAAAGAGATAGAGAGAAAAAATGATCTGATATTTTTCGTATCCTCACGTTGGTGATTCGAGTTGAAAAAGTTCGCGATATCTCATTCTCTCATCCCAGAAAGTTCGCTCAGGAAATATTGGAGTGTGAAACTAGTGAGGGAAAGTTCCCAAGAGAAAACGTATCGCAAGCGAAAATGATATTTTGGTGAGAATTCCATCACTGGCCTTCAGTGTGATGTACGTTTCCGCCATCGTCTCAAAGTTCCGTGCCATGACGTCGATGTCATCGGCGAAGCCAAGAAGCTGGATGGTCTTCCTTAAGATCATGCCACTCGTGTCTATCCCAGCTCTTCTGATCGGTGTGATCTAACGCGATGTTGAATAGCTGACACGAAAGTCCATCACCTTGCCGTAACCCCCTTCGAGATTCAAAGGGACTCGAGAGTGTCCCCGATACAACGCACATCACTCGATCTATCGTTGCCTTGACCAATCGCGTCAGTTTATCCGGATATCCGTACTCGTGCATAATCTGTCATAGCTGATCTCGATCGATTGTATCGTATGCGGATTTTATATCGATGAACAAATGATGTGTGGGCACGTTGTCAAATGCCAATGGTTTGAATGTATAAATATATAAAATGGAAATGACGTTCAATCAAATAAACCTATACCCCACTTACTTGGCCAGGCTTCAGAATCGTCCAGTGGGCAGTGCGCTCTACACTCCAAGTTCCCTTTCTTTCAAATTCACCCCAAATTTGATATTTTGAGTGTTGATTAATCACAATGAAACATTGTGACAGAGCACGGACTTGAGGTTACTAGAGTATTAAATAATCTGGGTCCTATTTAGGATTATATCTGAAAAATCCAAATCTGGCCAACGCCCACCACTATTCTATTGTTTCAAATGATGTAAACAAAATAAGAGTACCTGCCCCACCTAAATTCGCGAGAAAATTCAACGCTTTTCCTGGATTTCCACCCGCAGCCGCTGAAATTCAGTGATATTTAACACACGAAAAACAAAAGGCACATCCGAAACCGGTGGATTGTTTTTCAATAGTTGCTTGTTTATTTTTGAGAGAGGGTTTCACTTTTCAATTAGAGATGGAAAAAAATCAATGATATTCCTGCTTCTCACACCAGTGTTTCCTTCCTTTCCTTCTTGCGTGCATTCCTTTGTTTCCTGCCTTTTTGTTTGTATTCTTCTAAAGTTTGTAGTGAATTGAGTTTAGCTTATTATCATTTTCTTTCTCGTGTCACGAATCATTTATTCAAGATTTTTTTTTGTTGGTTTGAATTTTTCTTCGTTCATTTTTGCATTTATTTTAAGAAGTTTACTCTTAATTAAGAGGGAGCGATGTTTGTAATTACTTTTTACAAAAAAAAATATATATTTTTAACTCACATTCCATCATCCTGCCAACAGCAGGACGTTTTCTCACACAATTTCCTCTGTCCATGGTCACAATTTGTTTTCCCCACATGCAACTAAAGTTTCTTACTGTTAGCTTTTTTTTATTCTCTCTTCCACTCTTCCTCTTCAAACAACGCTTGACGCATTGTCACTATCATCATTCTTTTGTTTTTTTCCATCCTTTTTTGTTTTTGCTACTACGGTTTTGTTGTCTCACAGAGCATCAATAGTTTACATTTTATTATTATTTTAAATAGTTTTTTGAGGCGCTATATTTCAACATCCTCGCGTCCTAAAATTAAGATAAAATCGAAAAGAAAAAACGAAAACGATTTCTTTCTTCTTCATTATTTAGAGCTTGCTTAATGTTTTGTTTCTGTGTTTTTTTTTTATTTTACGAGTTAATTGAGCAGTGCTTCCATCGTGTATGGATGTGGCGGCGGCTGTTGCTGATGTTGTTGTTGTAGTTGCTGCTGCTGCGACGGCATCGACGCCGGGTGTGGTTGTTGATTCTGTTGCAGATGTTTCGGAGGTTCGGGTCAGTCTAGGATTACAACCTGTAGATCACTGTTCGCTTTATTGCTACTACTGCTATTGATGTTTGTGCTACCGCTGTTACTGCTGGTGCTACTGCTATTGTTGCCGGCGATCAGCTGGGCCGCCAGCGGGTGAACACTGGCCATTGAAGCGGCCGCGGCCATGTTCGAGTTGAGATTAAGGTTCGCTGCGACGGCGGCAGGGTGTGGATGTTGGCCGACGGCGGTGAGCTGCGCCGTCAGCTGAGGTGAAAGCGTCGCGGATAATTGAGGAATACCGGCTGCCGCTGCTGCAGCGGCGGCTGTCGATACGGGGGTGACCGGTGGCAGCAGGGTGGCTATGATTGCCGCATACTTTGGAGCCAAGCATCGCCAGGGTTTCCGCGCCGAACGCCGCAGCTCGATGATCGGAATTTTGCGGCGGGTTTTTCTGTGGAAATAAGCATCATTAGCACAGAGTTTGATCAGGGGATGACTTTTAACATTTGATGATTTTCGTGTTTCCGAAAAAAAAAATATTCAGTCGAAGCACCTTAGTGAAATCTTAATTGTTTTTAAAAGTTAATTTTATTCAATTTAAAAAGAAAATATTTTCCCAGTTTTAACTCAAATAGAACACGAAGGGTTTGATGTTTTCGAGGAAAATAGAAATCATCTTTTTCCAACTACATGAACCAATACCCAATTGAAGCGATTTGAATGGGGAGAGTGAACATGTCAACTCCCTGTTGCTAACATTTTGTGGATAAAGGGCGGGCTCTTCATCCCATTCATTGGGGCATCTTCCTGTTGGATGGCTCGTTTTCTGACCAATTGACTGATCAAGTTGCTGGAAGGAGATTCTTAACTGTTCCAAGGAGATGAATAGGCGAATTGCCTATCAATCCATCCATTCGTTTTTGGCCCTTCATACAGCGATTTGATTAAGATTTGGGTTATCAGCTACACGGCAATGCCATGTAGTATTTTGTGACGTTCTAATGCCAGTATCTTGCAACCGACAAAATATAATCTGTATATAGGGGACGACGGGGTTTTTCTTCAATGGGGTGGAATGGGCAACGCTCATGTGGTTCGGAGTAAAATAATTAGCTAAATCTAGCTTGATATAGCAAGACAAGCAATAACAAAAAACTACAAGGGACAACCCTATGCGGTTTCAACGCAATGGTGACGTAGGACTACGTGGTCTTATATAATAAATGTTGTTTGTTAACTGCAGCAGGAACTTGTATTTTGTGCAGGAATAGGAATTTGAAAGGGTTTGTCTCTGTTTATACTCTTTACTATCAAGCATGGGAAAAATCGTTCCATTTTGCATTCTCAACTCACTCACACGCAAACAACATCAGAAACGAACAGCAGCTTGTGCGAGCCGCACTGATTTCGTTCGTATTCGCATTGCTTCTATTTTCTTCGATGAATGCAGAATTGAGCAAAACAGACAGCTGAGCGTAACATGAATGATTCTGAGTGTAGTAGTGTGGATGATTCCTCTCTTATTATTTTTTCCATGCTGAGCCTTTTACGATTGCATTCTGCTGAGTGAGCTGAATGAGAATTTTGCAGAAAGAATCACTTTTTATTTTCTAGCTTTAACCATACATTGACACATTTAAATCGCTATTAATATCGAGAAAACTGTTATACTGTAACACATAAACATAAGCGTCACGCAAATAACTTAAAACTGCTGTGGCCAATTCAACTGATTTAAATCGTTGAGCCAAAAACTATCTGACTCGGCTATTTAAATCGTTAGCATTCGAATTTTACGCATTCAATCTGGTTCTCCCTCACTAGAGAAAATTGTTCGGCTGCCTTTCAGTTTATCCTTCTTTCCTTCTACTGCTGACAGTTCTGAGTCGAGCTGCAGAGTCACTTGGTAGGAAGAATTTACACTCGTTCGGCAATCTGTTTTTAGGCGAGGATGGCTATTTTGATTCTGTGGTGCTCGCGCGAGTGAATGAATTTTCCCATGCTTGTTTACTATGACTATGATTGTCCTGAAAAGAATCTTTTGATATGAATTTTAGTTGGGTTGGGAAAGGGTCGATGATAGTATAGGCTTAAGGCCTTTGGAAGATGATGACAACGTGTAGGCAGTTGGATACGCAAATCGGACCGAACAATCCCATATTCTTCGGTTCAATGATTGGGCACTCGCAAGAGTCTCGGCCCGTCTGCTGCTGGACAGGGGTTGAACTGGTGGCTGCGACAGGTTGGAAGACCGCAGAATATCAGTGTCCACCCAGCTAAAGCTCCTCCCCTTTTTAGTTTTTCTCGTTAAACTCCTTCTTTCAACAAGTTGGTAAATCTTAGCCTTTAGCAGAAAGACGCTTAGCACTTTTTTCGTCGAATTTATGATCCTGTTTCACGTCATGGTTCTTCTCTATGCCTGTTCAGATAAATTAGTACTTTTATTTATTTTCTCCTCGAATATTCGGGCGCTCGAAAAATTGAAAATTCGATAAATATGTAATCGAATAGGTGGAAAAATCTTTACGATTAATCGTTAATCGATTAATTGTACTGTGTAATTTCATGTTTTTGGTGGTCCTTCGAAAATGCCGAACAGCAGAATTGCAACCAGCAAGCGTAACCCAAGAACCAAAAGTGGTGCGATGCTAGTTTTCATTGCTATGACGACGACTAAATTAAGGGACTTAGAAGCAGAGGAGTGAAAGTTAATTCTCTTCATCGATTTCCTCTTTTGATGACCATGGTTTCACTTACCTATTTCGCACTATTTATGCTATGTTCTTCTATCATCCAGAACAACAAACGTATCAATGAATGTGTTTGCCGTCGAGTTATTAACGAAACAGAAAGTCGATGAAGAGATTACAACTCTGGAGAGCACTTGTTGTGGTCGTTGGGCGCGTGTGGTTCTGAATATGGCGATGAATGTGCAAAATGTTACGCAATTGCATCCTCCCTATTCGCACACGCCCGAAGATCGGAGGCGAATGCTTCTTCGACTTGTTTCGTCTACTAACGACTCTCTGATGACTGTGTTGGGGAAGCAGCAATGCTACATTGACATGTTTCGTCTAGAAAACGATTATCTGATGACTGTGTTGGGGAAGCTGCCCACGTTATTGGTGGATTTGTTAATTATTTCGACACTTTTGGACAAACCTTGACATTTACTAGTTTTTCAATAGTTTGTTGTTGAAAATCAACAATCGAAAGCATTGCATGGATCCGTAGAAATATTTTTGACCGATTGGTGAAAAAATTATAGAAATTGGTCCAGGCGCAGCTGAGTTGATAACGTTCAAAATCTTTCATAATTTCGTTACATGTTCCATTTTTGGTTTTAACAAAGTGTACCCCCATATATAAATCACAGACGCAGTCCCTAAGGACTTTTAACTTGAGTATTTTCGAATCATCTACCCAACTTGAAAAGGTGTATTTTTTATTTTTTCATATTTATTCAGGGGGAACGACGCACTTCAGGATTATCCCATTTTTACCCAAATCTCTCATAAAATTTTCAACGTGCACAAAATTTCAATCCATCTTATCTATTCTTTCTATTCCCAACTTATACCTTCTGCATGCACACAAATCAAGCAAAACGTGCAGTTTCTCGCAGTTTTTAGGACGATCGTGAAGCACTCTGCTATAATCGCTGTCAGTTTTCAACGATCTCATTAATCTCTCGTTCATAATCAGCCACGGGGACAAAATATCAAGAGGAGACAGCAACGCACATCCACTTTCCGGACTCAAACCGATCGAATCCGACAGAGAAGCGCAACCGAATTGCTGAACCTACCTCCGGGAAAAGCCTCACCGGACAACGAAATCTCCTACGTCAAACAGGTGGAAAAGGAATTCATTTTTTTCTACTCGGCCCAAGTTGTACTCGTGGCTGGTCATGAGTTTGGAGAAGGAAGATTGATGGAATTTCTGTGCGCGAATTTTTCGAATCAAATTCCCGTCCAAATACAGCTAGGAATATTAACTGGAACCTAGTAATCCATCGCTACTAACCGTTCCTCCTTACTTTACAGAGAGTATTTACTTTTACACTTGTGTTTCTTCCGCTGCACCTAGATAGAAACGGGCAAGCCTGACAGTCACCATATCTGACAATGAATAATTCAAAATTATTATTTGTTAATTGATACAATCATGGAAAACACATTTGAAAATGGTCTAAAATGTTGATTTTTCATAATTCATATTTTTTTAATTCGCATTAACTTAAGAACGACTGGTCTTAGGAAAAAATTTCATGTAAACAAGCTTGTCAGAAATTATGCGTAAATCTAAATAAATTATTGTTGAACGTTTAAAATATGTGCAATTTCATTATATTTTAAAAATCAATAAAAATTTACAAAATAGAGAATTTTACACTTTTCATCAAATTTTAGAACATTACTTCAGCTTTTTTACAAAAGAAATATAAAAATTTAAGGGGGGTGTTTTTAGAAACTCAACATTTTATGATTTTTACTATGAATCTAAATAGTTTTCTTTTTTTTCAATGTTTTATTTTTTCAAAGAATATTTAATTACCTACAGCTTCTTTTCAGTTAACATTTTGATCAAATCAATCATTTTCATGTAATGATTTTTTTGAAAAAAATATAATTAATTTTATGAACACGCCTCGGATTACGACTTTTTATAAAGTTACTCTGGAGAAGCAAATCATATATAAATGAAAAATGCAACCATTGGTAGCAGCAAACCAATAAGTATTTTTCATTCAAATCGGAAACAAACATGTCCATTCGTTTTGGGCTGGAAATGCTCTAATATTTCACGGAAAGCGTAGTTATCATTGTATGGACCACCCACAACCGTTTGCAAAATTTGCAAAAAAAACTACAGGTCGTATGTACAGTTTTTACGCTTCTGTCAAATTTGTTACATACGAAGATTGATACCCCCCTTGAAGTTAGATATCATATGTAACATTGAGCTAAATTTTGATTGGTTGGCACATACATAATAGTTTTTTTGATGAGAAAATGAAACAGAGCGAGTCCAAATATTACCTTTAGGAAAAGTAAGCAGAGTAGTTTCTGGTAGCATTAAAACGTCAATTCGTTTACGTTTATTACATACGACCAATTCAAAACGCACTCCAGACTTATCCCCTTCACGTTCAGACCCGTATCCCTCTGAATTTTTTTAACACCGCTCACATCCATTCTATACCCTGATCCATTCCAATCTATTTGTTTCTATCCCTTCTTTATTTTCGTCAAGACGACACACTCAAAAAAATCCCATACATTATGTTTTCCCCGAAAATCCCAAGTAATTATTAGAGTGAAAAAATGCATCCCAATGAGTGTCTTTCCCCCTGGGTTGGACATAAACCATCCACCGTTAATTTGAAAAGCCAAACTTAATTCAAGAAGTGGTGGAAAGAAGGAGTCTTCTACTCCTTCTGGATTCCGC